TAAATAAATGTTCATAAATTCATTTCTCAATTCATTCCTGTGAACCTCCCAATGTTTGAATAAAGACGGGGCCTAATCTAGGGTGGAAAATTGGGCCGTTATGTAAACTAATATTGGGAACACACTTGGCCTACGCTCGAATATAATATTAACAATTGTCGGTGATGATGGTCAGACGAAACGTGGCCAAGTGCGCCAATGAATATCGGGCCTATGTTGGTACCGTGCATCAGCCTCATCATCGGAGCCGATACCGGACCGGGGTTATCATCCATTGCTCGGCCTGATGTTGGGCGAATGTTGGTTGCGAGCATCGAAAGGGTTGGCTGCGATATTAGGCCGAGCAATGGCTGAATCCGACGATCCTACATGGATTTCAGAACATTAGGCTCGCACCAGGCCACTCAGCTGCCGACGTCGGAATGTCACCGTTTGCCGTTGCATACCGTAGCAGGTTATGGACATTTTTTAATATTTATAATAGGATACTAGTAGTATATTGTGCACCAAGGGAGGAAAACAGGGCATTCTAACACACGTGTGCATTACCAACCTGAGGCGAAGCCGAGGATGGTAAACACGCTAGTTTGAATGCCCTGTTTCCCTTCCTCGATGCATTTGTTTTTTCCGCAATCACTACACGGATAAGTTCGATTTTTCTTCCTAAATTACGGGAGGAATGTGGGATATGTCATCTCGAAGATCCTCAAAAACAATAGATATCTGAAGGATAGAATAGGCCACTTTCTTCTCGTCATTTGGGGAGTAAAATCGAACTTTCCGTGTAGATAGGACAGAAACATGTTTTCGCTTGTGTTTTTTATTGTTTATATATAATTCTCCTTAGTTCTTAATTTAAAAAATCGTTGTCCACCGGAGTCACTTAATACTTTCAGTACGCAATGTCTAACTCTGTTACATATAAACGAAATGTATCTCATATCTTTCCAACCCAGCTTTCGAATAAGTGAAATTTCATTCATTTATCTCAACGCAAACCGAAGTTACGACTATTGCAACATTAAGGAACACGAAGTGGATACGTGACGTATATCTTGGAAGTTTTAAGTTCGGCCTAATTTCCGGCATTCGTTGAACCAAAAAAAAATATGCATTTCCGCTATCATTTGAAAGCTCATTTTCTGAGCTTGAATGATACTATTTTCGATTAATGATCCCGATTCGGTCATTACTTATGAGCGTTTAAGCATGATCATATAAAAGGTCTACCTTCCATTGTTGCCATACATCACATGTTTTTATCGAATTAATGGAGGAATAACCATAACTGTTATATATTAGTATATTATGCAACACGTGCGTAATATATTTTTCGACTCGTGGGATTGTAAAACTCGCCTTCGGCTCGTGTTACAAACCCCCCACGAGTCAAAAAATATATTACGCACGCGTTTCATACAAAATTTTATGTCATCGGGCCCGGAATCCGCGATTTAACCGAGCGAAGCGAGGTTAGAATCGCGCGATTACGGGCACCGATGGCATAAAATTCCAAACTTCATTCTTGAAGCTTTCAATTGGCCGTCAGTTCATTTGGTAACATCTATTCTGTTCTGAGTTATGAATCAATAATCTCCATAATGATGTGTCACACTTATTTTATGTATTTCATGATGTGACAGATGCGAAAAATTAAATATTCAGTATCGTTTCAAAACTGATTTTCTGAGCTTTCCAATGATACTATTTTCATTTGCCTGTTTCTAGTCTGTATTGAACTATGGACGATTATACATGATTACAATGTGTTGCATCCGCTCTCTGTATTAAGGATATATACTGCGATTGTTGTAATTTGAAACGTGAGACAGAATCCCTTTTTCCCTTGACCATTTTATATTAATTTGAGCATTCAACAAGGGTTCAACCCGACGCGGCTAGGGTCAGGAGCTGTCGGGGCTGAAGACGAATAAATTGTTGCAATACATTTTGGGCACCAGTCAATTTTGTCAAGATTGACATCTTGTATTAGAAATGATAGATTTGAAGGCTAGAACACGAAATTATTTTATTTGGAGTGGACTCGACTTCGGAGACCCAGCAGAAAGCCGAAGAGAGAGAGTAACGAGGACAGAGGTCTACTTACAATATTTCCTCGAAACCGATTCACCAGGCGAGCTGTGCGGCAGTATGCAGTTATTCACCCCGTTTGTTCTGACAATATATATTTTTCATCCAAAATATGGGACCGGCCAATAGAAAGTACTTGAAAATACACTAATCGCGACAATTTAACAGAGACGTAAATTATAGTTTGTGTAAGAAATTTGTCGGCCGAAACGAGAGTGATTTTTCGGGACACGCTGACCACTTGTTACGCGTAGTCCCCTCGTATAATCGATATTCCGACGCAACTCCGTTGACGAAAAGGAGGACTGGGCCTCCTAATTGACCAGTGATGACGTGACATCAGTTGGGTCATACTGGCATGGGTTCGTCAATAGTTTTCCGTTATTGACGGTTTTGAGACTGACGTTGGCGAATTTCTATTATTATTATATTATTATATATTATTTCCGTGTCACAAACGAAAAGTGTTTTTCCTGTAAATGACTGTTGAAACACCAATTTATTTCGACAGTAACCGCGTAACAGACGTGAATGAGAAAACTTCTACCGTGAAAAAATATATTAAAAATATCAAAGGCAAAAAAATACAAATTAAACAGTTGGAATTAAAAAAAAATGATCCCCAATTATTCAATATAGGATTGCTTCAGCAGATTAATCTTTTTGGTTGAAGGATATCGAATATAGGATCACAGATAATAAAAATGGTTCTCAATAGCGCGCGCGTTCGACGCGCGCCTCTGATAATGCCCTAATTAATGAAAAAAAAACAGTTTAAAGTATGGTGGATACTTTATCAGTAATTAAGCATAAACATTATCATTTTCATACATGCAATTTGCTCAGTAATGTATCATTTAAAAAGTTCAACCTAATTCAATCTAATTGCAGTGATACTGACCTTTTTTTCAAGGATTCAATCTTCTTTTTTTGCAGTTCATTTTTCAATGCTTGAATGTATATCATATATGTCCAAGCAATGCATATTATATGACTCAATTTCACGGTATAGGATCAACAGGCCTCATACGTGTTCTATGCCTAAGTATTCTAACTCCTTGCCCAAAGTGATTCTACTAAAAGATGGGCATATATTTTGGATACGATTGCGATGCCCTAGAATCAGCATTAAATAAGAAATACTATTAAGCGATTTCTCAATGATCTAGATTCTAAATAATATCAGGACACACGAAGCGGCATATATTATCGAAATCGAATAATATCGAATGAGACACTGTTGAAAGATATAAGGTTAAACTATAAATAACCCGAATACTCGTGGATAATGTCCAAGTATATTCGTCATAATGTGAATCACTAGGGCCGTCACCCGATACCGCTTACGGTGGATAACAGAGACAGAACACTTGTTGCTATCGAATTCGCGATGAAATATAAACTCGTCAATTCAGTGCCTCTGGGTCACTTAGTCAGACAGACAGTCAATTAGTAAATCGACGATTCGATAAGTCACTTTTTTGCAAGTTATGATGCCTGATTGAAAGGAATTTTTATATCAAGATAGGCGATAGCATATCGGTCAAGTTGACATTTTACCGGTGTGACGTCACAGGCCGATGATGTCGCGTATAATATACAGGCCACAACTACTCCCCGAATGGGTTCGATAATATGATATGATAATATGATGACATTTTCACTTTCTCAATTAAATCAATAAATAAAAATAGCCTCCCATAGCAACCATCATAATGTCATATTTCCACGATTCTATTTTCTCTTAGTGTTAGATTCGGTCGTCAAAATTGGCAACGAAAATAATGTCTGTTTCTCTGTCCTTGTCTCATTTTTTCCCTTTTTTTGATTTTTTCCAAAGACTACAGTAGAAAGATCAAGCGTGACACCAATTTAATAAAGGACTTAATTAGTGTATTTTTCACAAGAAAAATAACGCAGAAAATTGAGTGAAGATCCGTGTTATTTAAGTGAAAAAAAAAAACTGTTACACCGGTTCGCTGACTCATTGACCTACGCCATGGAGGTATCGCACCTTTTTTCAATATTTCGTTCGAGTCAGATGAGGGGGCAGTACAGTCAAATTTCCGCCGAAGAACTCTGGAGAGTCTCCATAATGGATACAAGGACTCGTACACCTACTCAAGCACCCATTATAAAATATATCAAAGGAAAAATATCAATTTATACGGTGAAATTCAGGTCGCACATAGTAAGTCAGGAAAATTTTGTAGAGAATGGTATAGCGATCGGAGCGGGAGGGAAAGCTGACTTTTCTCCTACCCTACAACGGAAAATAGTGTTCTAACCGTGGAAGGTGGAATAAAAGACCTCTATGCACCTAATTTTGCACGTGGCTAAGGTTCCTTTATTTTACATCTCTATAGGTTAGAAAATAGTATCTAGTGCATGAAGTGTGGAAAGTTACGTTTTCCCGCCCGAGGTGTGCATGCTATTTTTAAACATGTCGGCAAAGCGAATTTCTTATTCTGCTGCCTTGACTGTCCGACCTTGGTAGCACGTTTCTACCCGAAGGCGGGAAATACTCAATTCCCCCCGCTAATCAGGGAGCAAAGTGCAGTCAGCAGTCTTGAATTTTCCTTGGGAGCAACTTTCTACCCTAGGGTGGAAAGTATTGAATTTCCTCCCACTTTTCAGGCAGCTAAACACCAAGTTCCCTTTGCAGGCATGTTGAAAGACAGCACGTGCACTTCAGGCGGGAAACATTACTTTTCGCCTTTGATGCAAAATATACTATTCTTCATGTAACATAACTCAAAATCGAAAAATCGACGTGAAAGAATACTCCCGCTCGAAGCAGAAAAAAAAGTAAAAATTGATCACAGCCGTTTTAGCATAAGAACTCCTAGGATTGATAGAATAGGATTGACCTGGAACAGATCCATATCGGCTCTAAATAATGATCTTACCTGCAAATCTCGTTGACTAAGATATGTTCTGCGACATCCAGTATTTCCGTAGCGAGTTCCACCATGAGTGCACATAAAAACGGTACCTAAGCCTGTCTGTTCCACTCTAGAAACTTTTTCCACACATCTAGGACAAATTTTGTCTTCTCGTTTGCCACAGGACAAGCAAAACACATGTTTACATGGAATCTGAAACACAAATATAAAAAACAACTCCAATAAAAATCCGACGGATAATCAAGTTGGTAATACCGGCTTTAGTTGTCAAAATTCCGTCATTATTCATACTATTGTAGTAAATTCGCCGATCGATCCAAAAATAATCTTGTAAGTGTTCGCCCATGCAGATTAGTCTACCAACCGTACAATCTTCCAAACCCTCCGAGGTGAGAATTGAACAGAAAGAGCACATTAAACCTGTCTATTGTGAAGATAACGCGAAATTATAAACGTGGAACGTTCCGAGATCGACCCCTCACGGTTAAATAATCAATCACATTTTTGGAACCACGGCTTAAATCCAAACCATTGAGAGGTCTTGAAAATAATTTGTAACGGACATGTGGGGATGTCCGTTAGGAACGTCGAAACCCCCCCAACACCATCCACAAAATTAACGGGGATCATCGCGTCCAGGGGCACCGAGCCCCTGGTTTAGTTTAGGAAATTAGGGTTTAGAGCTAGGGTACGGGCCTAAAATGCCGTGAAGAAGGGCCAAAAATTGAGCCATCCGGTCATTTAAATGAAACATCGCGAGTTCAAATAAAATTTGACGTTCCGATTTATAGGGAGCATGAATTTAGGGCTACGTTTACGTTTACGTTTCTGTTTTTCGGTGGAAGGCCGGGGGAATAAGCGCAACCCTTATTCACCCGGATTGCCAGGTTGCTTACGGGTTAGTGACTAAATTGAACTTTTAATAAATTTTGTTATTAGTAGGGGATACTAAATTTTAGATTTATGGGTGAAGAAAGAAAGATTTTTAGTATTCAGGCTCCCCGGGAAAAGTGATTAATAAGGCTCCGATCGCCCGTGAAATGAAATAAAAAAAGAAAATATGTTAGAATATTAAAAAAGATAAGAGTTAGGGAATTAGACTAGCAATTCAAATTTGAATTGTCGCCAGAGGCGCCGTGCCGCAACTAGCAACTAACGCCAGCCAATCAGGGAGCGCCTGATTTTCGGCTGTGCGTGGCCCACCTGTTGCACTGACCTCTCCAAGTCAGTTGTTCATGGCGAGTCAGACAACATGTGTGGAACAAAAAGAATTAGTGAGAAATTACGTGAAAAGAAGTGAGGATTATGGTGAGGAAAGCACCAAGGAAGGGGAGGAAACCCCCAAAGGTGAGTTGGCCTTCATAATTAGTGTTAAGTGAGTGATTATTCCATCGTCATTATGGTTATTTCCACGACATGTCGTGGCCTTGTCCGAGCCGGCCGCCCGGCTTCGGTTGATTTTCTCCATCCATTTTTGGATGGCTTTCGAGGGAGTTTCTCCCTCGCTAACGAATCCCCAAAATATTAGGGGCTCCCCTGAACATATTAGTGGGTAATTTCGAGGAAATTTCCCTCGTTTAGCGTGGTTTTGAGTGGAAATAGGCCCCCCGGTTTGGCTAAATTTCCTCTTCCATTTTGAGTGGCTTTCGAGGGAGTTTCTCCCTTGCTAATGAATCCCCAAAATATTAGGGGCTCCCCTGATTAGGTTGGTGGGCAATTTCGAGGGAATTTCCCTCGTTTAGGGGGGTTTTTGAATAAAAATAGCAACCCCGGTTTTGGCTAAATCTCCTCATGTATTTTAAGTGGTTTTCGAGGGGGTTTTCCCCTCGCTAATGATTCCCCAAAATACTAGGGGCTCCCCTGGCCACGCCAGTGGGTATTTTTCCTGAGATTTCCCGGAATTTCAGGCGTTAGAAGCGATTTTAAGAAGGTGAATTTTCCACGGCCAGCGGTGGCCAGTGGTTTTCCCTCTCTCTCTCTCTCTCTCTTCAGTTTCGAGCAGAGTGGGTTCGAGTCCGAGGAGTCGATACTTTTTGTTGTTGCTTTTTTTTTTTTTGTTTTGTCTTTTTCTGTGATTTTCGGGTGGTTAACGGGCCCCCGGAATATCAGATTCATGATCCTGGGGTAATTGAGGATTTCCCAGAAATTCCGGGAAATCATTGATTCCCCGGCGCACTAACATTAGGGATAGGATTTTCCTCGGATTATCGTCGAATGATAATCTTTGTAGGCAGATTTCGATGGTAACATGGAGGGGCTACGCCTAATAGCTTTAATAATTGATTTTTCAAGTCGCATCCTTTTTGGAATTACCTCAAAATTATTAGCTGAATAAAAATACAATCTTTTGGAGGTTTTATCTATCTTTCTTTTATTTGATTTATACGTTGATTTAACCCATAATTAGGCATGCCCAAAATATCCCGTTTGCACCCAAGATCCACCCTTCTCTCCATCACCTGCACACTGAGCGAACCAGGACCGTTACCTTTCTCCGAAGCCTGATTTTCCCTTTCTGTTCCCGTTTGGAAAAATGTTTTCTTTTTTTTTTGAGTTTACGATGAGTAATAGAGGCAATCGAAATTAGTTGAGTTAGTTTTAGTGGTTTTCCGGTTTGGTGATTCCGGCTAAAAATTACCTGGCGCCCATTTGATTTAATTTTAGCAGGTTTGGTTAGGCTTTGGGGAAGTAGGGCGAAGGTGGCGGGCATTTTCAACCCCCATACGGAAATGTCACGTTACAAATTTAAATGTTCGTTATGTCGGTATGATTATATAAAGTAATGATAGTGAAAATCACAATCAGGCTTGTAGCCAATGAGTACCATTCTGTGCAATAAACTTTCAAGGTGTATATGTTAACAACACAAAGCGAGAAAATACCAATTACTTGAACAGAGCTAGAGCCGGTCTGATTTTAACCTCGTTTCGGAATGCTCTGAAAATCCGTCATTTTCGGTTGGTTCAGGCTCCTAGCGTTTTATTTCTTTATTTTGGATTTAAACCTTTAGATGAGACTAGTCTCGCCCTTGTGTAAAATCGTAATAACGAATGGAAAATTCTTTACGTGGACCATTGCCGACTAATTGCCAGTGACAATCTTGCTCGCATGGCCATCTCAACCGCATTACCCTATAGTTTAACGATTAAATTTTTTTTTTCGTTCGTAAAATAGAAAAGTTGTCTGTAAGTACAAGCGATCTAGGAAGGGATATTGACGAGGTAAGGGCAGGGCACATGTGATCACCGTTTGGACACTAACCGACGAACACAATCGTCTGCCCACTCCACGCGACAACGCACTGCACAAATTTAACAAGGGTTTGAATGAGATGGTAATGGCTAACGGTGATGAACTCAATCGGGATATATTTGATAAGTGGAGAGCAACGTAAAGTTCATTTTCTAGGAAGAAAATTGTGCTGAATAATTATCTTACACTGGAAAAAAAAATTAATTTGATTTCTTTATAATAAAACACCAGGCACCCAAATTTAGGTGGAGTATGAGATACTCAAAATTGAACGTGAATCCACCATTCCCTCTCAATCGCGAGGGGTACGGTGAGTCTTTGGAGGAAAATTTGGGGAAAGCTCATCTGATTTACTCTCAAGGGTCCTTGACATCTAAATTAATCCAAGATTGTAACGGGGATGTATTAGTTGTTTTTACTGATTTGGACTTTCTCAAGTTGGTCATTGATTGCAGAGGAAACTCAACAATATTATTCAGCGACGCTACTTCCTGTGTAGGAATTTCCGAGCCTGCAGACTTGACTAATGTATTGGCCAGCATTGTTCGCCAATACTCGGTTGTTCGATATTCGGCCAATATATTAGCCTACATCAATCCAACGAGATTCGGTTGAGCGATGTTGGTCCAATGGTAAAGCCCCAATCTGTTGAATAAGTATTGGTTGGTCGATCATTGGCCATTCATGGGTCCTACGTAGCTTCCCCAATATCCGTCACTTGAAATATTCATTGAGTATAATTATATTATAATTAACATTAAACAATAAAATCCGTTAAAATTTCATCGGAATGATCATTCGTTGAGACCAAGAGAATAATAATTGAAAAATTCGGAAAAGCAGGCGTTTGCTGTAAAAATTACAATTACGATAATTATTGCAATTATTTTTGCAATGTGCAAAAATAACTGACTGAAATTTATGGAGTCGTTTTTATGCTCCTACTACAAGACTTAGGTATTAGGTTAGTGGTTAGGGCGAAGGCAGACGACAGAATTTTGTACGTTGCGGGCAATACTGGCTTTGAAGTCAATGAAATTCTAAATATTTTAGTTAAAAAAATTAACAATTGGGATGAGGCAGAATTTTGCGACCCTCCCCCTTCCCCCTAATTGATACAGCTTATTTTTCCTAGGTTAAGTTAGGTTTAAGTTACTCTTTTTTCGCCACCGTTGAGCAACCCATCCCCAGATATTCCTTACCCCCGTCCCCATTTCCCCCCGCCCTAGCACTCACGCATCAAGGAAAAGGACACACAATAACGAATGCCCCCGATTAACACCGATTATCACCATAATCGGGAGGAAGAGGTGAGGATGATTGGCAGCCTTCACTCGTGCCACAACTGCCCCACGAGTTACTGCCTCATAAAGCAACAAAATTACCCCCAAAGAATCCCGTGAAGAAGTGCCCAGAAAAGACCCTGAAAAAGTGTTAATAAGGAGTAAAAGTGGAAGAAATCCTGTGAAGAGAACTATTCTAGAATACTGTGCAAATAGTGTGTAAGAGAGACAATTAATGAAGAAGAAAGAGTGTGAAGAGGAACTATTGAGGAAGAGAGACATATTGCGTGGAAGTATGATGAAAGGATTGTATTGTGAGGAAAGGATATTATCGTGAGGAACTCGTATGAGAAATGTGAGAGAAAGATTGTGCGCCTGAATCTCGTGGAGAGGGACCGAGGAGAGCGAGGAGAGAAAAGAAAGGAAGGAGGAGAGACCCGGAGAAAAGCGGAGAGAATTTTGAGGACACCATTCCCCGTGAGTGCCCCATTTTTTGTATTCCCTGCCCCAACGAATTTCCCTGCCCGTGTTAATTTCCCGCCAAGTGAGCCTCCAGTAAATTTACGTTAGTTGTAAATCAAGCCCTCTGTAAATGATTACCTTTTCAGTCGCCCCCCCCCCACTTCTCCCCCTTTTTCCAGAGTTAGAGTCACCCCC